TTAACACTCAGTTCATAGACTTAATCTCCTCTTTTTTCCCCTAAATAAAATCCTCCATGAGTGGACTCCCCTGTGTAGCACATCTCCTCTGACTGCACACTGCTCAGGGAGGAGAAGCATGTCAGTGGATAGGGTCTGATGGCAATTGTCCCCTCAAACTGGACAAGCTCCTCTAACTTCCTCTCTAGCTCCTGACCCACCCGCCCAGCTCTTTGGGCAACTCAGCTTCTGCCTCCCGGTACAAATGCATTGACTCTCCACAAGGCTGTAAACATCCATCCATGGAGACCCTTCATGACTCCACCCCTGATCTGGGCTCCTCTGTCATTTCCAGTGCAGTGTCTCCAAGCACCTGCTCAGCACTTCTGTCTGAGGTTGTCCCAGTGTTCATGAGGCACCCAGCTTCAGGTACTAAGTGAGGATTGACTCTGGTTTCTTTGAAGCATGGACCTTACGTCCAAGGTCTTTCAGGTACGCCTTTAAATGGTTGGCTGTAGATACAACTTGGGTACAAGCTTATCCACAATTCTGCCAACTCCTTCAATGTGTCCATGCTGATTGATATCAGGCGCAGGTCTCAGCTTTGGCCGACAAAGTGTTTGTTTCCTCCAAAAGTGGGGTCGTAACATCACTTACAGTAGACACTGCTCCTAGCCCATCCCAGCTGCTGAGAGTGCCAGATTGCTCCCTGCTGTCACTAGTGCCAAAGCAAAACCAAGAATGGTCATGACTCCAGAGGCAGCACCAGTGGAGTCGGCCACCATGTTGGAAGATGTGCAGCCCCTGTGCATCTTGTCAACCTCCTCTGCGAGGGCACAGAGCTTTCCTATGCGCTGCTCAATGTCCCTTTTCACCTGAGGAAGCTCATTCCAAAACCTCTTCACCTCCTGCAGGTCTTTCTGGAACTTCTCTTTTTCCTCTACAGCCATGACTGCTGTGAGCTTCTTCAGAGCTTGACGCAGCTCATCAGCCTCTTCCCTGTAAGAGTAATGGTCAAGTGATAAAGGAAGTTTGCTTATCTGTAAAATGGGCTGCATAAGATCCACCCTGCAGTAATCACACAGCTGTACTACAAATCAAATGGAAAAGATTTTACAAATGCACATTTTTTTTCAAATGCTCACACCTATAATCCTAGCTACACAAGAGGTAGAGATCAGGAAGATCTCTGTTTGAAGCCAGCTGGACAAATAAAGAGTTCACAAGACCCTATCTCGAAAAACTCTTCACAAAAAAGAGGACTGGTGGAGTGGCTCAAGGTGAAGGACCTGAGTTCAAGCCCCAGTACCCGCAAAAAAAAAAAAAAAAATTCCAGAATCTGAACATTCTGTCCAAGCATTTGATAAAGGATGTTCAACCTTAACAATGTGATGTGGGATGGGAGCTTTGGTATCATTTTTGACTTCTAGAGGCACTGGACACTAAAGCCTTGACCTCTGGGAGGGAAGGAGACTCCAAGTCACCCCGAAGCAACATGGGTTAAAGTCCTGTGAAGGTTAATCCAGGTGGTCAACTTGACTGCCTTGAGAGATGCAGAAGACTGATAAAGCACCATTATGGGTGTGCCACAGAGGGGTTTCCAGAGATGACTGGAATTTGGGTCAGAGAACTGAGGGAAGAGACGCACACTGATGGAGGGAAAATCCACACAACAGCTGGAAGCTGCGGGTGGAGGATGAAATGGGGAAGAAGAGGAAGGTCACCTGGACAAATTAGTCTCAGCCAGGAACACCTCCCATGCTTCATCTTCAGTAGCCAGATACTGCACATCCTCTGGGATCAGTTTATCCATGAGAAATAAAGTGGTGTCCTTAATGAGGCCTGAGACACCTAGTGGAAAGGATGAAGAAGGTCAGAGGTCAGTGTGACAGACTGTAAATGGCATCACCTTCAAGGGGATTAAACATCATGTTCTGCACATCTGCCACCAAAAAAAAGAAATGAGCTCATAGAGTAGGGCCCTAATCCTAAGGCTTTCTCTCCTTATAAGACCAAGGGACACTGGATCTCTCTCTCTCTCTCTCTCTCTCTTTCTCCCTCCCTCCCTCCCTCTCAATGCACAGAGTGAGGCCATCTGCAAGAAAAGTGAGGAGGCCCCATCTGCACATCAGGAACAGAGCCCTCACCAGAACCAGTCCCACCATCCCTGGAATCTTTTTCAGCTCAGAGAAATCAGAAAGTGAGCTTTCCAACTCTAAGAAAATGGGAAAATACCAAGGATGGCTTCCGTCTGCCATGTGCCTGCTACATGGCAATCACTGTGCACCTGCACCTTGACTGTGACTTCAATCCATCTTGAGGTTCTGACATTAGTTTATTGGGTCAAGAGGAGCATTTTTAAGAAGTAGAATTAACAAGAAAGAGTGTACTGAACATAGTAAGGGTGAGTATTATTTTGTGAATCACATCACTATATATATTCATATATATGTATATAAACTTCCTGGGACATAGATATGTTTAGGAATTCAGAATTTTAATCTTTAAAAGATATTTTTAAATTATTTTCAGCATTGATTTTTAAATGGCTTAGTAATTAACATATTTACAGGGTGCCATGTTTTCTTCAGAGTAATTGTGTGTCATCACCTCAAATATTTAGAATTACTTTGGATCCAAACATTCCAAATCCTCCTCATAGCCATTTTGAAATATACAGTTAGATGGAATGTTTAATTTTCTAGAAGGGAACAGGGCACGTGGATGCATTACTTTCCAATCCTAGTGACCCCAGGCATTCATGTTTCAGCAGTGAAACAAGTGAATATTCTCATTAAATGAGATAGTGTGAGACTGACTGTAAATGGTCTCAGGTCAGGAGTACAGTCCACGTGAGTCACCCCAAAATTGTGTAGTTTGCTTAGATGTGAAGATATCAGATTATCAGGTCAGGTGTGGGGGCCAGTACACATTGATGTGCACACTGGGCAAGGTATGAAATGTGCTTCCTGCTTGTAGACACAAGAAAGGCAGAGTTCTTACTTCACAGAGCAAAGTGACACTCAGACAGGAAAAGGGACAGCATAAAACCAGCAAGCAAGAGAGCTCGGAATTTGAACCCAAGGCCAAATGGAAATTTTTGATTACTTTCAACTCGTGGTGTTTTTTTTTTAATTCCTATGATTTCTGCATTCTACTCTGAAATACCCCTGTAGAGTTTACTTAAATTTTGAAAATATGTCTCTAACTGCACACTATGGATCATAAAATGATCATGAAGAGAGGAGTCCTTCTGCTAACGATGGATACTCTGAAACTGGCAGAGGAGGAGGATCTTCAGGTGGGTGGAAATGGTGGGGCCCAGACCTTCAACTCCAGCCTTATGACCTGTCCATATTTCAGGGGACCTGGCTCTTAAGTGTTGTCCTTGAATTCAGGCTGGCCTGTTTATCAAAGGAGAGGGTGTCTATCCTTCCATCCACTGCCCAGCCCTTTCTGAAGCTCCTGGGCCTGTTGGGAGCTCCTGGTGTCCGATCTTCCCCTCTCCCCTTGTTCTTCATGTGACTCCTCCTCCAGACACAGTTTTCTCTCCAGCACTGGCTCCTGGGAAGAATTTTCTGATGCCAAGGCAATTGGGGAAGGGGAGGAAAAGGGCCTGAGAGAGCAGGACTGCAGGAGGCTGGTGTAAGCGGGGTGGGGGGAGCGTGTCTCTGGTGGAGCCTGTTTCCTTTTTGTGTCACCTTCAGGCTCCTCCTTTCCATGAGATGATCAGAATTAGTCCCTGCCTGAGGCAGCCACACCTGTGAGCAGGTGCTTCTCATGGGCAGGGCAGGGCAGTTGCCCTGCACAGCTATGGTGTGGATGAGGGAAGTTGCTACCTGGACTAAACAGTGGGGTGCAGTAGAGGGGAGAACCAACAGTAGGAGGACCTATGATATGGCAGGCACCTGTGTGAGCCACCTAGATATGTCACGTCTGATCCTCAGAGCAACATGGGGAAACCGTTCTCTTGACACAGCTGAGGTACAGAGCTCTGGGTCAAACACATGGGTGGTGGCAAAGGTCACAGTGGCATCCAGTCAGTGGCATCGTGCGTCACTCTTCCTGCTGAACCACTCAGAGCAGACCAGCACTAAGTTGTAAGAAGAGCCTTCTCATGGATACTAGCCCATGGTCAACCCAGAGCAGGGGGAGGTGCTGTGGACATCCTTTCCACTCTCCTCCCACACCTTCTCTTCTCCCCCTTCCCCCAACATACCCCTCTCCTTCTGCCCTCACTTTTCTGAGGTTATACTGGGCCCACAAAAGGAGGCAGGATATGGATAAAGTGAGCACCTGGGCCGTTCCCAGGTGCAGATCTAGGCCACGGGCAGGAACTAGCTAGAAAAGCCAACCATGTCTACCTGACAACTCCTCACGGGTTTCTGTGTCCATGGTGCCAGCAGTGGTGTCTCTGAGAGGTTTTTCTTGAAACTCAGATGTGGCGTCCAGGCTGCAGGGAGGAGAGAGCACATGGAGGGATGTGATGAGAGGCAGCTGCAGCCCAGGCAGCAGTCAGGGGCCAGGTCTCCTGCCCATCCCTCCATGGTGCAGTAGAGGCCTGGCCAGACTCAACCCACAGTGTTCCTCTTCCCCTGGGCTCTGCAGCTGCTGCGGAAAGAAAGTGAGCCATCTTGCTCCAGCTGCTCTGCCCTCAGCCCAGCACAGTCAGAGGCCTCTTGTGCTGATAGGGTCCGAGGAGAAGGAAATGGGATGAGGACCGGAAATGTAGAAAGATATGCACAGAAGAAAGAATGGGAGGAATGTTCTGGCAGTCACTTGGGGGTGGGAGCACTGTGTGAACTCCTGGCAATGGCTGATGTTTCTTGAGTGTCTGTGAAAAGCAGGACTCTGACTCCCACCTCCTTAAGAGATCACACAAGTCCAGGAGATGAGGTCAACTGTGACTCCCATCTTAAAGCAGAGGAACAACCACAAAGGCTAGGTGCGGTGGCCAATTTGCACAATGCTGGAGCATTCTGATCCAAATAACTGTGTTCTACTCTTTTAAACATACAAAATACTCACTCACATAAATGTTATTGTAAAGGAATGTTCTTTTTCCTATGTACCTATGATGTGTTGTACCCTGTGATCAAGTTCCTGGTAAATGTACTGATGTCCCTGTGGCTTCCCAAAGCCCTACCCTCCTTACTTGTGAAGGATTCTTCATCTCACCAGGTTCTTGTAGCAGATAGATATGCATGAAGGGATATATAAGGAGAATCTAAAATGAAGGATTCTTCAAGAATTTTCTCTGAGAGAAAAACATCGCAATCAAACTTTCCAACACTCAACAGTGTCTGTTAAAATCAAAGGCATCAAATGGACCTGCAACTGAGAATTTCCCGGGCCCTTTGTTTGAAGAAGGAAAAAGGGCATCGAGAGTAATGCCCTTGAGAATAAGGCACTGAGAGTGTAATGACAGTAGTGACAAACACCTGCGGACATCACTCTGCACTAGTCATTGTCTAATGTTTATACATGATAACTCACAGAACTCTTCCAATAACCTATAAATTGTATGCCATGCATGTTCCAGTTTACAGATGAGGAAACCAAAACATACCTATGTTAAAGTCAGAAATCGAGGAAGTGATCCCTTGTGGGTTCACACCCAGCCAGAGGAACTAGGAACTCACGTTCCCTCTGCTCACACTGCTGCCAATGAGAAATGGAATCAGACCACCAGGAGAGCAAGGCCTCAACAAATGTCAAAAGACAGCTCTGGGAGGAGAGGTGATAACTGAGGACAGGAGATGGGAGGGAGCTGTGGTCTAGAGAAAGCAGAGAGTGCAACCACACAAGGAGAAGTCAGGAGGTGACACTCTGGGGGTGAAAAGAAGCGTTAATGTCCTCATTTACAAAGTGAGAAAGCAAGAAATACTGGCTACAGTGGAGGACATCAGAATAAAGATGAAGGGAAATTGTTTCTAACTACAAAGTTGTATAAGATACAGACTTTGTAATTCATGGATATTGGGACAAAGTGCAAAAATAAGTGTATTTTCTGATCTATCCTAATAGGAAGTAAATAAATGATGTCTAAATTTCATAATCAAGAGAAAGAAAAATGCAAGAGCTCATATGCACTGCCCATCTACTTTAGCACCAGGCTCCATTTTAAGAGCTGTGTAGGCACAGACACGTTGGTAGTTCTCACACGAACCCTGCAGGCAAAGTGCCATTATCCTCCGCATATTTCAGATAAGGACACTGGAGCTCATGGAGAGTGATTCACCCAAAGTTAAGAATTTACCCCAGATCACACTCTCATGCTATTCAGTGAGAATATTGTTTAAAGATGTTGGTTTGCTTCCCCTAAAAAGATTAAAATTAAAAGCAATTGTCACAGGAAAAGGGGTGAAAGAGCCTCAGACCTCATTGATTTTCCTAATCATATGCACTTATTCCTTTTTCTATTTTTTGGTGGGACCGGGGTTTGAACACAGGACATCATGCTTACTAGGCAGGGGCTCTACCACTGTAGTCACACTACTAATCCACTTTGCTTAAGTTATTTTTCAAGTAACATCTATTGTTTTTTGTCCAGGTCCTGCGTTGGACCTCTTTAGTAGCTGGAATTACAGGTATGGCCCACAACACATAGCCCCTGATTTTTTTTAATTTTAAGAAAACAGAAGTCACGCTCTAGTAGTTAGAGTAGTAGTTATCGAACACAATAAAGAAGGACTGCTTTATGGTGTCATCACTTTAAAGATGATGGAGGATGTGAGCAGGTGCCAGTAAGAAATAAGCCTGACTCCTGGGGTGACAAATGTCTATCTAGAATAAACCTTGGTGGTTGATGGACCAAGCTCATTAAGAATGAAGAAGAGATGATTTTAAAAAGTGCTGAATTGGGCAAAGACAGTGACCACCAACTTTGAGCAGATCTATCTTCCAGCAGCACCTTGACCTTCCCATGTGCACCTGCAGGTTGACTCTCCACTCTGAGGATCCCTGACTCCTTCAGGGAACTGAATTCCCTGGCCTGTGACATCTGCTGCTCCTAAGAGCAAGGACACTTGCAAGACAATTGGAGTAGTACAAAGGCCCCCACTGGTAAGTCCTCACAGTTTTCATATCATAATAATAACAGGTAATGTTGATATGATCATGTTTAATTGGGGGGCTAAGTCTGTGAAAGGCCACAAGTTCGCCAACACTCAAAGGGAAGAGTTGATATTAAAATACAAAAAAGGTAGCTATAAAGGCTAAAAACTGGAGTTGTAGTGAGGAATGTTTCATTGGTTAATAAGAAGATTACTCTTAGGGTTGGGCACATGACTTACCCTGTTATTCCAGCTACATGGGAGGCATAGATAGGAGGATTTTGGGTGGAGGCCAGCCAAGGCAAAGAGTTAGCCAGACTCTATCTCAAGAGAACAAGCCAGACGTGGTGAGGCACACCAGTAATCCCAGCTACATGGGAGGCCTAGGCAGAAATATCGTGGTCAAAGATGGCCCAGGCAAAAAGTGCAAGACCCTATATCCTAAAATAACAAAAGCAAAAAGGGTTGGAGGTATGGCTCAAGTAGTAGAACGAGACCCAGAGTTAAACAGTAGCATGGTCAAAACACACAAAAGCACACACACATGCGCACACTCACACATGCATGGACACATACACAGGTGCATGCACAAACACATACTTACAACATTGCACACATGGCACATGTATGTACACACACAAACGTATACATGCACATGTACACATGCACACATACACCTGCACACATGTCTTAATATATATGGGTGGTTTTGCCCATCATAGTTAACAATACCTCCAGCACCAAGACAGAAAACACCAGACAATGAAAGGAGCAAAAAGAAGTGGCAGTCAAGTTCCTAGAAGGTCTTGTTCTATGCCCAGAAGTAAGAAGAATATGTGTCCCTTTATCGCCAGTCTCTCCCTCATTATTCCTGTCTTGTGTCTGCTGAGACGTTGAATTCAGGCCTAGCTCTGCTTCTGTGTGTGTGGCTGCTGAATGAAGACTTTCTTTCCCCACAACTCTCAACTCTCTACCATTGGTTTTTCTGAAGAATGAGCTTCCAGACCTGGGTTCACTAATACAGTGACTGTGTAACCCAGTCCTGACCAACGAGAACAAGGGGACATCTGCTGAGGAGTTCTTGGTTCTTTGTTGCTATAAGGAACAGGTATGGCAGGAGAGCTGACAGCTCCAAGCCTACATGACCCCAGAGCAGAACAGCATTTTGAGACCCTGAGACATGGGGACCATGAACCAACCCAGAGAGCAGAAAGGGTGGGAAGACTGAAAGAGCTGGCCTTGGGTGATACCCCACACGTTGGTAAAAACATATGAATCCTAGGTCTCATCCTTCCTTGTCCTCTGTCTTGCTCTGACTTTCCTTGGGCTTCACTAGGTGCTGAGATGGAGCAGTGCTTCTTCCACCTCAACTGGCACAGAGCCTATGGCTGGCTGCTCAAGTCCCAGAAAGGCTATAGAGGGAAAAGAGTGTAAGCACCAACAGGAAGCCCCAGGGCTCCTTGCCCTGCCCTGCCAAGTGTTCCACCCCGATAGGAGCTGTCTCCCTACCTGGGGCCTGAGCTCTCCATATGTAGCAGAAAAGAACCTCAGCAAGGTCTTTCATCCCAGTGGCTGTAGGCATCCTCCTTGGGCAGGGAAAGAGGGGCTCATACAGCACGCTCCTCCTGAGGAGTCTTTGATGACCTCTCAGGGTCAAGTTCAAGCCCCTTCACCTAGCACACCTTCCCTCCTGCCTGCTCCAATCCCTCCTTCCTCAACTCTCCCTGCCTGTGTGCACCTTCCAATGCTCCCTGACCCCTTGATCATGATCTGCTTCCCACCCCAGGGCTCTTCTGGGGCTGCTCACTCCCTTAGGATGCCTTCCCCACTTTCTCCACCGTGAAAAATTTCCGACCGTTCCCTACTTTCTCAAGTCCCATGTGGAACTTGGGTTCCCAATGCCTTTTGTCCCCTCACTCCCACTGCATGACCTCCCATGCTGACTAAGAGAAGGGCAGCAGCCTTCTGAGGGCTCAAAAGGGCAAGGAATCCTAACTTCATCTATCACGTGATAAAGGGGGCTTGGATGGGACAGTGACTTCCACAACATCACACAGCTCTCGGTGGGCACACCGAGGCCATCTCTGGGCTCCTGACATGAAGATTAATGCCCTTCAAAAGTGTTATTTTGATAATGCCCATGTTTCTAGGTATGCCTCTGTTTGAATACATCAGAGTCAACTTCATTCTGACCACACACACACACACACACACACACCCAGATCTGGTCATCAATCTGACAATTGCAAAGCTGGAATGGTTCTGTGGACAGCACTCTGTATCATGCCCTTTCCAGTCCCTCTGTCTGGCCACCTATCCCATGAGAATACACAGATCAGCCTCTGCCTTCTTTCTCCACCCTACACAGGCTGAGCTCTAGAGGCCAGGTGAGGACAAATGGTGCAGACCTGCCTTCCACCTGCTCAGCAGCCTTCTGACACTCTGAGAAACTCATTTCTGACCTGGAGCCTCGGTCATCCCATAGGGCCTGGCATAGAATAAGTGTTCTGAGATAGGTTGTGTGACAAACCTCTGGACTCCTTATATCTCAAAACCAACCCTTTGGCCCCATCAGACCTCAGTGCCAGCTTCAGGGTAGCCAGGCCATGCTACTAAAGGCCTCTGGATTCCTGTCCTCCTCCAGCTCTTTTGGCTTTTCTATTCCCTAAGGAGTAGAACCCTCCACAAGCACCTTCTCTTGGGGTCACCTGGACTTGTCTCAGGCAGCCTCACACACAAACTAACCCACAGGGAGCTTCATGAGTCCATTTTAGTGACTCTCAGACTCTCTTCTGTTTTAAGGTACAAAAGGAGGGAGAAGCAGTCACACATAAACATGGGTGCAAATCGAGACTCTGCTGCTCCTTGATGGTGGGACCTTGACCCACTGCCTAACCTTCCTGAGATCATCTATGTAATAGGGATAGTAACCCTTTTCCAGAGCCCTTGTGAGGTGAGAGAGGTCACATCATCCCCAACTTACTGCAGAATCTTCCCCTGGCTGAGACTGGATGGGACCCAGTTGTCCTTAGCTGTGTGGCTGCTGTTGCCAGCTGTGCATCTGAGTTACAACCAGATGTGTCCTCTGATATACCCAGGCACTTGAAAAGGAAAAAGGAAGTCCCAAGTTTTGAGCAGCTCACTATCAAAAAAACAACCAAACATATGGCTTGTTTTGGGTGACACCCTCAGTCCCACCCTCCTTACTGTCCCACTCGAGTGTCCAGAGGTGAAAAGCTCAATAATTCAGTTGAAAGCCATGCTAAGAGACTGGATCATGTTGAAGACAGACTATCAGAGCCTGAAGACAAGGTAGAGGAATGAGAAGATTCTGATACTGATACAAGAAAAATAATGAAGGCTATATATGACAAATGTATATGACAATGTATACATGGAGAAAAACTGAAATCACCTCCTCTAAACTCAGGAACAAGGAAAAGGTATCCCTTTCTCCATTCTTATTCTGTATAGTGCTTGAATTCCTAGCCAGAGCAATGATTCAAGAGAAAGAAATAAAAAGGATACAAATAGAAAATGAAGAAGTAACATGATATGACCCCATAATTAAAAGACCTAAACACTCCACCAAAAAATTCATACATCTGATAAACATTTTCAGAAAAGTAACTGGATATAAAATCAACATACAAAAATCAATAACATTTCTATATGCTAACAATGAACAGGGTAAGAAGTCAGGAAAGTAATCCCACTCATGATAGCCTCAAAAACAAAACACTTTGTCCTAAATGTAACCAAAGATGTTAAAGACTTCTCCAATGAAAACCATAAAGCATTGAACAAAAATTGAAGAAGACACTAGAAGATGGAAAGACCTCCCGTGTTCATGGACTGGCAGAATAGATACTATGAAAATGGCTTTACTACCAAAAGCAATCTATAGATCCAATGCAAGCCCCTTCAAAATCCCAATGCCATTCCTCATGCAATAGAAAAGTCAATCCTAAAACTCATTTGGAAATATTAAAGACCCCAAATAGCCAAAGCAATGCAGAGCAGAAAGAGCAAAGTTGTAAGAATGACAATACCAGACTTCACATTGTACTACAGAAACATAGTATCAAAAATACCATGGTGCCAGCTAAAAAAAAAATGTGGGTCAACAGACCTGAATTAAATAAATCCATACAGCTACAGCCATCTGATTTTCAAAAAAGATGCCAAAAGCAAATTTTGGAAAACAGACAGCTTGTTCAACAAATGATATCGGAAAAACTGGATTTCCACATGTAGAAGAATGAAAATAGACCCCTATCTCTTATTCTGTACAAAAATTGCCTCAAAGTGGAACAACCCCTGAAACTTTGAAAGTGCTGTAGGGAAACATAGGGAGAACACTTGAAGATGTAGACATAGGAAGAACATTCTGGAAAAGACTCCAATTGCTCAGGAAATAAGAGCAAGAATTGACAAATGGAATCACATCAAATTAGAAAACTTGTGCACATCCCAGGAAGCAATGATGAGACCAAGAGACAACCCACAGGGTGGCAGAAAACTTTTACAAGCTAGTCATTAGACAAAGTATTTATATCCAGAATATACAAAAAATTAAACACCAAAAGAACAAATAATCCAATGAATAAATAGGCAAATGAATTGAAAAGACAGTTCTCAGAACTACAAATGACAAACACATATGTGAAGAAATTTTCAACATCCTTACCCATAAAGGAAATGCAAATCAAAACAGCACTGGATTCCATCTCACCCCAGACAGAATGGCTATCACAAGAAAACAGCAAATGTAGGGGTGGGGTGGAGGAAGAGGAACACTTACACACTGTTGGTGGGAATGTAAATTAGTGCAGCCACTATGGAAACCTTTATGGGGGTTCCTCAAAAAAACTAAAGAAAGAGCTATGAGATGACCATGTTCGACCACTCCTGGGCGTATATCCAAAGGGACGTCAGTCAATGTACACTAGAGATACCTGCACACGCATGTGTACTGCAGCACCGTTCACTATAACCAACCTATGGAGTCAGCCCAGGTGCCCAATAACCAATGAATGCATAAGGAAAATGTTACATAGATACACAAAGGAGGAATATTCTACCACAAAGAAGAATAAAATTATGTCACTTGCAGGAAAATGGATGGAGCTAGAGATCGTCAGGGTATGCCAGATAAGTCATCCTCAGAAAGACATGCTTCACGTTTTCTCTCACATGTGGAATCGAGACATAATGGCAATATGACATGAGTGCAAAGGGGCTGTTGGGACAATGGGAGGTGGAAAAGGAAAGGAGAGGGCGATGAGGGGAAAGTATCAAATACATTATATATACATATGACAATAGCATAATTAAACACACTAAAACTTTAAAATAAAGAGGGCCAGGGAGGGAGGATAAGAAAGAGTAATATGGAATGAAGTTTATGACAGTATAATACATGCATGCATGGGACTATCAAGAAATACATGTGAATAAAAATTTTTAGATAGGACATTTGTTGGAATGATATCTGAGGTATCCCAAGTCAGAAGGAGGCTAGAGACCATGCTCGGCAAAAAAAATAAACCAAGACAGTCACATGGTGACCAAAGGCAGGGAACACAAGATCACACTTGGTCAGGAAAGATATGGGAGGGGCTGCCTCTGCCACCTTGAGATATGATCCTACTGGGGCAAACAAGGCCATCGCCATTTCCACTGTCCCCAGGGGAGCCCTGCTACTATCACAGGAAATTGGTTCCAGGGATCTTTGGTCTCTGCCTCACTTGCTCCAGATTCAGGGACCCCTGTGAGAGCAGCAAATTATCCACCCTAGGTGTGGTGTGGGAGCCCTGGGTGCCAGGCGGGGGTGGCAGGGAAGGATGTAGTCTCAGTCATCATATAGGAAGTCAGGGCCAGCCTCTCTATGACTGTACATGTCCAGAAATCCCTTGATCTGGGAAGAAAAGAATAGATTCTAAGTAGGTCCCTTTAGTGAAGCAAGTGCATTACATCAAAGGTCCCCAGAATGGACACACTTGACTGTAGAAGGAAATTTATTGAAACTTACTAGAGAATCAAATGACTGAGTACACAGAAAAGACCACAGGCCCAAATACAGGTGCATACACCAGGTTGTCTTTGCTCACCCTCTCAGATTATGCTGGGCTTTCTGTCCACACACCATCTACAGGCAGAGCTGCACAGCCATGGAGCACCTCCTAGGTGTGATCCTGAAGAACGACACAGATATCCTCAGTCCACTGCCTGGAGGGGAGGGTCCTCAGGCCAGGATCTTCAGGGTTTCCTGGGCAACAGCTAAGGGTCTGGCTAGAAGCTCAGGACTCTTGTGAAATAAATCTGAAGACTTGGAGGCAAAGATATTTCGGGAAGAGATATGTGGATGGAGCTCTCAGAATGAGGCCAGAGCAGGGAAATCCTCCCTATCCCTCCCCTGTGTGTGCTCGTAACAGTGCTTAAAAGCTGCTCTTGTTGAGGCGCTCTGATCCTTACTTGGGCCAGGAATTAAGTAAGTGCGGGAAACAGACAATTGAGAGGCCTCTTTTCCATGGAAATGGAAGTGGGGAAAATGAACCAGAGACTTCAAAAGGGAAAAACGTCAGGTAGAGCAGCTGGCATACTGCCCACTAACTCTGTTTGTTAACCACATTGACGCTTTTTCCCTCTGTCTACATTCTGGAGAGCTCAAGGTAAAAAAAACCAACAACAACAAAAAACCTTTGCTGCTCAATTAAACCAGGCAGTCTTCTATCAAGACGCACAGCTTCGGAGAGGTGGCACCAGAACCCAGAGAACTAAGGTAGCACTCATTCTGGGACATGCGTTTTGTCTCATACTCAAACTGCATCCCTGAGCTTCCCTTTGAAAAGTGGACATTTTCCCTCTAAGTGGGTGACAGAGCTTTGGGAGGTTGACTCTCCCTGTCTTCCTCTTCATCTGACGAATAACAAACCTCATTTCCTTTTCCTCTAAAGCCCTGCTCTAGTTATTTGTGAATTGGTATTAAGGCCAGGGGACCAGCTTTCTGTTGATGTTCGGATAGTAATCCTCTTCCAAAGCCCTTGTCAAGATGAGGAGGTGAGGAAGGTCAAACCATCCCCAACTTATCATGGAATCTTCCCCTGCCTGGGCTTTAATGGGACTCAGCTGTCCTTAGGTGTGTGGTTCCTGTCATCAGTTATGCATCTGAATTATAATCAGATATAACTCAGGTATCTGTCCTCTGGGGCAGAAGTACCCAGGCACCCAAAAGGAAAAATGAAAGTCCCGAATTGTGAGCAGCCCACTATCAAACCAACACCAACATGGGGCTCATTGGGTGCCACCTCAGTCCCACCATTCTTACTGACCCACTCTGAGGAATACCGTGCCTGACAGTCCAGGAAGTTCCCAGCCCAAACCATTTCAACTGGGATTCTCGATGGTCTTCCTGGGCTTGACCACCACACCCCAGGACACCCCAGGACTCCCGCCTCACCCACCTCCCCACCAGCAGCATCAGCACCGTCTGCCCGTGTCCTTGCTGCACCACAGGCTCACTGTGGTGCTGTTGCTGAGTGTCCTGTCCATGTGGCCTCTAGACAGGCGCTTATGTGGGTTCCTCTGTCACTTGGAAACATCAGCCTTGCCTCCTCTCAGAAGCCCTCAACATCCTTCCCAGGGAGTCCACTGCCCTGCTCAGTGACATGAGCCTTGTGGGGAGGGGACAAAGTCCACTGCTGGAATCCGGTCCCACAGCTACAGTCACAGCTGTCAGACTTCCCAGCTTTGCCCAGAGAGAAGAGCAGGGCTGGACCCCAGGGTCAGCCAGACCCTTCTGTGGGGGTTGTTTCATCCTTCCCAAATGTCCATGAGGCATTATTGCCACCTTTCCCAACTGTTAGGGAAGGACAGTGGGTGACTACATGGAACCCACACACTATAGTTCACAATGGATTTATTTGTCCATTGGATTGGAATTTTATGATCATTCCCTAAGGATCTAAACTTTTCATCTGTATTATTAATTTATTTATTTTGTTTGTGTGTGAGACAGGGTCTCTCCATGTAGCCCAGGATGGCCTGAATGTCAAGGTCTTGCAGCCTCAGCCTTTCAGGATCTGGGATTAAAGACAAGCGCCACCACAACAAGCACTCTTTTTTTTTTTCCCAATCGACATATAATTATTTTACATATTCAATCGGGCAAGTGTTCAGATTTTGCAGGTGAGGAGACTGAGTCAAGGGGAGAAGTAATGACTTTCATGAGGTAATTCGGGGAGGATCCAAGACTCAAACTGAGTTTGACCTTTTGACATTTGACCCTCATGACCACCCTTGCATGCTAAGGGGGGAGGTGGTCATTTTTCATCTATTGATTCTTCCCCCTCTTATCTGCATGACTTAAGCTTGACAGCCACAAAAACCATAGTGAGGGGCACCCCTGGTCACAGTGCATAATGGGCCAGACCATTGATAGACTCTTGAACACAGTCTTGGGGTACAGCAGCCATGGTGGGCTGTGGATTTCCCTCAAGGGCAGCAGCAAGTGTCTCTACTCCAGAGATGCCATCAGAGACAATCCCACCTGGAGGTCCTGAAGCCCTGCTATAAAACAGCTCAGCATGGCCTGTGACATTGAAATCAGAGTTTTGATCCAAAGACCCAAACTCCTGGGATTCTACCCACCAGATCCAGCCACTCATCCCTAGATGCCAAAAAAAGGGTTGGTGAAGGACAGAGAAAGGAGAGTTGCTACACAGCCCAGAACGTGCCATGCAAAGAAGCAAAGTGAACACTCAGCCCACTCTAGCTATCTTCAGGGTACAAATGTGAGCTTTAGTTTATATAGACAAGGAGTTGAGACGGGGGACAAAAAGTATGCATAGTCACAGACACAGGTGTGGCCTGGTTGGTCCTTGTTCCTGGAGGGGTTTCAGAGAAGTTGTTGTCCAGAATCGTTGTTGCCTAGCAGGTGGTCCATCCTGAGGAGGCTCTACTGTTGGTACTTCCCTTCTCTTATAAAATGTCATCAATTCTATCCTTCATGGAACCATGCAAAGTGATTACACAGAAAATGGCTGACAATAGGGGCTTAAGTAGGGAGTCAGTGCTTTTCAGCAAAAACAGTTTAAGTGCCTCTCACAACATCACAGGAAAAGGCACTAGGATGTCTGCGGCTACAACTCAGGAGTCAATGTCTCAGCCAATGTCTTTGGTTCATGAGCAATGTCAGCCCATTGAGAAGTTCATAGTAATTCCCTTGGAAGGCAGACCGGACACTGCTCTGGAAGATTCCAGTGGAGAACACCAGTGTCACCTAGTGGAAAGTGGAGGGTCAGGAGCCAAGGCACCTGGCTGCCCTGCCCACACCACTTGGGCCCCAAGTAGGCTTGGCCCAGACAAGCTGGACACTGCATTGGCTTCTCCAGGATGAGGACCCCACCTCAGTGCTGTTCTCCCTTTCTCAGGGACCCTGGAAGGATCCCTGAGGGAGGGGAGAGGTAACTTCCAACTGAGCATGTGACATGGGGCCTTCTGATGTTATGTGAGTGTCTAACAAAGACAAACCTCCCAGAACTGCAAAGCACAGAGAAAGCGGATGAGATTGGACACTGACAGTCCCTGGTCCCTTTATGGGAAGCCAAGGCAGACTCTGGTCCTAGCCAATCAAAGCCTGGCCGCCAGCCTCATCCCAAGGGCAATCCTAATGATGTGTCCTCAGGTGGGAAAATCAGCCCTGAGTAACAAGTACCACCTTCAGGAGGGTTTAGATTTAAATACAAAGATAACAGAATCAGTATTAGGGTGAACAAAAGGAAGCTATGTTAGAACTAGACCCCTTCCCCATTGAAGGTGACTTACTGGAAACTCTCCACCCAGTCCTAAAGAAGAATAGACATCTACCTTTAGCCATTTACCAGAAACTCCCCACCTGGCCTAGAATAAATGACCCATCCTTAAGCCATTATCTCAAGAGGGTCAGAGGACCATTGAGGATTTTCCTGCCAAGTCACCTTCCTGGGACTTCTCCACCAACCTAATATCTACCCCTAGTCTGTAAGTGGCATGAGGCTCCAGCTCTTGCTGGCAACCCCTCTGCAGGACCACTTCTTCACAATAAACCCCATGCATGTGTTGAGGTGTCATCCCGCCTCTCTGTTCTATGCCTCTTTCAGTCTAACAAAAGCCATGATGGTATTTGTGTCAAGATAAAGAAGTATTTAGGTTTAATGCATGTGTAATGGTCAAGAGCATTTGACCCATTTGCTGGGTGAACAGAGCAGCATTTGGACTCCAATTCAGAACTATTAAGTTGAACAAAAGGGAAACCATATTAGGATAGGACCCCCACACACCCTTGCAGGCAGTTTACTGGAAACATCCCACCACCTACTAGAAGGAAAACACCTAGCCTTAAGCAAATGACAAAATCTCACTTTGCCCAGGGGTTGGGAGCTGGCTGACCATCCATCTCCTCTAGCTTCCCAATATCCCTGCCAGCTAAACTTCCCCTATAGACCCTTCCTCTATATCTATTCCAAGTCTGTAAGTAGTACTGTGGTTCTGGCTTTGGTTGAATACTCCCTTCCACAGGGCTTCTTCTGAATAAACCCTGTGCTGGCATTGAGCCATCTCCCACCTATCTATTCTGTGCCTCACAAGAGCAGGATGAGAAATTTGGAGGCATGAGTTTAGGTTGAAGGACTCTCTGCCATGTACTGAGGATGTGACAAATAAGCTTTAGCCAGAGAAGGAGCATCCCCCCAGTTCAGTAGGTGCCAATATAGAAGGGTGAGCAGAGTCAAGTAGGGCAGAGGCTGCTCTGGAGCATGTGCCCAGGGCACCACCCACCTCTACTCACCCACCCTACAGTCAGGAGACCAAGGAGAGGCACCTGTCATCTCTGTCATATCATAATGTTAGGGTGAACAAAAGGAAGCCATGTTGGAACTGGACCCCCTCTCCCTTGAAGGTGACTTATTGAAAAGTCTCCACCCATCCCTAAAGAAAAACAGACATCCATTTTAAGCCATTTAATAGAAACTTCCCACCTGGACCAGAGGAAATGATCCCCTTGTAAGCCATTATCTCAGGAAGGTCAGAGGGTCATTGAGGATTATCCCGTCCAGTGAACTTCTGGGGGCTTCTCTACCCACCTCCTTTACCTACCCCCAGTCTGTAAGTGGTGATGGGCTCCAGCTCTCTTGCTGGGTGCCCCTTCTGCAGGACCAATTCTCCACAATAAACCCTGTGCAGACATATGAGCTGCCTGCCCCCCCCATCAATTCCACACTATTCTTTCATTTCTAACACATAGCATAGCCTTAAAAATAATAGCACATGAAGCTTCCTCACAAAATATGGAATTCTTGATCATTCCTGCAAAGTGTTTTCACACAATAACCATAAATGCTTCAACAACTGCCCTGGGATGTAAACAGTTATAATCCTTCTTTCCCAGAGGAGAAAACAAAGGCTCACATAAGGTGAAAGGACTGACCAAAGACTGACAGAGCTACATTATATCTGGGTCTTTCTGATGCCTGTTGTTTTTTTTTTTTTTTTCTTTTTTTTCTGAACCAGGTTGATTCCCAAAAGGGAGAGAAATCCTTAAGCCCTCAAGTTCTCAGAAAATGTAAGTTCTTCGAAATGTTATCATTCGCTGGTAAATGGATGGAATTGGAGAACATCATTCTGAGTGAGGTTAGCTTGGCCCAAAAGACCAAAAATCGTATGTTCTCCCTCATATGTGGACATTAGATCAAGGGCAAACACAACAAGGGGATTGGACTTTGAGCACATGATAAAAGCGAGAGCACACAAGGGAGGGGCGAGGATAGGTAAGACACCTAAAAAACTAGCTAGCATTTGTTGCCCTTAACGCAGAGAAACTAAAGCAGATACCTTAAAAGCAACTGAGGCCAATAGGAAAAGGGCACCAGGAACTACAGAAAAGGTTAGATCAAAAAGAATTAACCTAGAAGGTAACACACACGCATAGGAAATCAATGTGAGTCAATGCCCTGTATAGCTATCCTTATCTCAACCAGCAAAAACCCTTGTTCCTTCCTATTATTGCTTATACTCTCTCTTCAACAAAATTAGAGATAAGGGCAAAATAGTTTCTGCCTGGTATTGAGGGGGTGGGGGGGGAGAGGGACGGGGTAGAGTGGGTGGTAAGGGAGGGGGTGGGGGCAGGGGAGAGAAATGACCCAAATATTGTATGCACATATGAATAATAAAACAATAAAAAAATAATAATAAAAGAAAAAAGAAAATGTAAGTTCTTGCCTGAGCTTTCTGTGGGATTGAGTCACAAAACTTCAAATATTACTAGAATTGTCATCCAACCTGCTCCCTTCACCTATAGCTAGTGCCCATAGGGACATGGTGTGTCTGAGCCTCCAATGACCAACTACCACTGACCAAGTGTCAACACCTCCGCAAGAAGCTCCCCATGTCCAGGGGCTGGGAGCACTGCACAACTTGTTTGCAGCACAGCATGCTGTGCCCAGGGCCCTGCTGCCTCAGGCCTCCTCTCCTCCAGGAGCTGCAAGAGAATATTCAGCATCCATGTTCCTGCCTGGATTCACCCCAGGCTTTTGCATGTGACTCAGTTTACTTGCTTGCAGGATGAGACCACTAGTAGATCCCCTGACAGTGAAAGCGGGAAGAAAACAAAGACAAGATGGGACTAGCAAACAGTAGGTGCTCAGTAAGCAACAATACCATTTTCCAGGCACTCCATCTATATGTGGCACTGAGCCATCAGGTTGTCTACATTGTGTCCATTCACCTCCTGAGAACTCCTGCTAGTGAGGTAGGCTAAATAAGGAAAAGTTCAGGACTCAGGAAAATATTACATCTTAGATAAACCATGCTTTGGCTCAGGAACGGCCCATGCCCCTCCCCACCCACTGATTACTGGATAGGAACCTCCTTCTTCTCCCCTTCCCATAGGTTATTGTAGGTTTTTAAAGCACCTGAAACAGGAACACACTCAGCTTCCAGCTTCCACCTGGGTCCCACTGTGCTTCCCTTTGTTTTTCTCCTCACTAACTTTTAATACATTCCATTTACACCCATGTGTCCTGCCATGTTTTCTTACACGAGGGACAAAGAATTTGGAAGTCTTCTGATCACAGACTGATCCAGTGTCGATAACATTTGTGGCCAAGCCAGCCAGGAGAAATGATGAGCCCCCAGACCCTGCACCTTAGAGGGTCACTTTTACTTTCCATTTGTTCTTTCTTCTGCACAGCCAAGGCAAAGGGCTGAGCTCTGCCCTCAAGGAATGCAGCTGGGAAACACAAAAGTCCCTGTGACCCAATGGTGTCCACTCAATGCATGGGCCTCCATACAAGTCACATTGTGGGGGCGGGAAGCCCACAAGACCCAGCAGTGTCTGTCCACCCAACACGTGCTCCCCCAGTGGATTGGGTTTCTCAGAGAACACTCAGGCAGAGGTGTCTATCACAATAAAAGTGGTTTTTTAAAGAGTAGAGCATGACAATTTGGGGTCAATTGTCAATCTCTTCAATATTCACCAATCTAGATTATGACATCATTGGGAGAATATATACAAAATATTGACTGATCACTGTTCAAATTTTTATTTTAAAAATTACAGAACAAGCATGGCCTTTTGTGTTCAGCTTTCCAGACCTCTTTCTACTGCAGATTTTTAAACTTCAGTAGGAAACTAAGGCCTTCTGCCCAACAATCCTGCTAAGGGAGCAGTGATCAGAGGCCAGGCCCTGCCCACTCCCTGTCTCTAAATGCCCACAGCTGGCACATGGAGAGAAGTGTTGTGACATCTGGACAGATGTGACTCCCACCATCTCATACTTTTAATCCTTCAGTGTCTCTTTGAGCATTTCACCAAAGGCCTCTGTCACCCCAAGGGGACCAAAGTCAGAGAACAAAGAGAGACATTCTTGACTTTCAGTCTCAATACCATAGTCTAGCTGTTGGGTGTGGAATTATTTGGAAATGTAATGAATTAGGTATAATTACAGAGGAGGAGGTCTCTCATGCCACCTCAAAGCAGTGGTAAAGCTGACAGCTCAGTAGCAACAGTGAGGAGGAGGAGCCTAGGCTGGGGCCAGGTTTGAGGCTGAACCTAGAGTCCAGCAGTGCTGTGATTTGGGTATGGGCTGAGAGTGCTCCCCAAGGGTTCTTGTGTTGGAAGCCTTATCTTCAGTATGGCTAAGTTGGAAGTGGTGGGAACCAAGAGGAAGAACCTAGTGAGAAGCAGAAGACAGGCTTCTTCCTGTGCTCTGACTTCCTGTCACTTCATGTGAGGCTCCCTCTCATGCAATATTGCCATGAGTCCATCCCTCCTATGATGATGCAGTAGTAGGATCTCCATTGTCCACGAAGATGTCCAGCAATTCTCTTCTGACTCAGCAGACTCAGCGGAGGGCTCACTGAGTGGGGCCTGACTACAAACTCTCCTGGATCTGGATGAGCTCTTCTAACATCTTCTCCAGCTCCTCAGCCCGCTGCCGCAGCTCTGCAGCAGACTCTGTCTTTGCTCCATCGTGCAAATGCATTGACTCTTTCACAAGGCTGATCACATCCATCAGAAGGAAGACACCTGCAGTGGCTGCACCCATCATCCGGGCTCCTTTGGTCATTGCCAGTGCAGTGCCTCCAAAGGCTCTCTCCACTTGCTTAGTACTTCGAGCTGAGATTCTCCCAGTGGTCATGAGACGCTTGGCCTTGGCTGCTAAACGAGAGTTGGCCTTGGCCAGCTTGATAACATGGATGCTCTTCTCAATGCGTTGCAGATCTTGAATGCACTTTGTGGTTGTGGAAGCCACTCTGGGTGCGGTCTGTGAAAGAACATTCTTAACCTCTTTCATTGTGTCCATGCTGGTGGACAGCAGAGATCCGGCTTCAGCTTTGGCTGACAACGTGCTTGAGTGATCCACGATGCTAGTGGCAACACTAGTCACAGCAGCTGCTGTTCCCAGCCCAATCCCAGTGGCTGAGAGTGCCAGACTGACCCCTGCTGTCACTGGTGCCAGAGCCAGGCCAAGGATTGTCAGAACTCCAGAGACAGCGCCAGTGGAGGTGGCCACCACATGGGAGATGGTGCAGTCCTTGTGCACCTTGTCAATCTTGTCTGCGAGGGCCCGGAGCTTCTTTATGCGCTCCTCAAGCTCCATTTTCACCTGAGGAAATGTGTTCAAAAACCTTTCCCTATCCTCCTGGTCGTTGTGGAGCTCCTCTTCGTCCTGCATGGCCAAGTCTGATATGAGCTTCATCAGAGCTTGATGAAGGTCATCAGCCTCTTTCCTGTAGCAATAAAGGTCAAGTGATTAAGCAATGTTTGCTTTTCTGTAAAAGGGGCTGCATACGCTCCATCCTCCCCTGATCACATAGATTTAACTATAAATCAAATGGAAAAGGATTTTACAGGCGTACAGAGTTTTCTTTCTATGGTGAACATCTTTGGTACATCATAGATGCTCCTTGAAATGCAATCCTCCTGATCTCTGCCTCCCAAATCACTAGGATTATAGGCGTGAGCCTCCAGCAACCAACTGCTTGACTGATTTTAACGCGTGTCCTTTCTCTGTGATAAGTCATAACTGTGAAATACCCATTTTCAGGGAGTTCTTTGGGTCTTTCTAGTGAATTATCAATCAGAGAAGTTTGGGGATGTCCCTGAATTTGCAGTTGATATCACACACAAACACAAAAATCAGCTGTCTTGGGGACTGTGCCTAAGTTTTTGCAGCTTCACTCTCTCTGGATGCTTAGAATTTAAAAATAAATAAAATAACTCAGAGACAGAAGATAACATGAAGATTACTTTGCCAGCTCTCTTCCAGTGCCTGACACTCTTTGCCCTTCCCTTGGGAAGGCCTCTTAGTCTATCAGTTGAATGGGAAGCGGGAGAGTGGGTTACTAGTGTGCCCACATTGGCCCTCCACCCCACCTTCCACCTCCCGACCCACCACCTTACACCCCCAACCTTCAGGGCCTTCTTGTCAGAGGCCACCAGCCTAATGGACACCTGAGCTTCACATGTGTGCACACAAAGGCCATATGCAAATATTTAAGAGACTTTGAGACCCATCTGTGGGAACTGCTAAGCCTGAGGATGTTTTCTTCCTCTGAAATGGGACCTTTGAGTCTTCTCAGACTCTTTGCAATTACACAAAATAAGCAGCCAATCATTCTGACTTGGAGAGTTGTCACTAAGCCATTACTGCCTTCCAGTGGCCAAGGACTTCTCTATGTAGAACAGAAGAGGCTCCCCAATGGCAACTAAGAACTTCCCAGCCCCAAGACAAGGTGAGCAGGAAAAAACCACCCAAAGCCCCTATGCCCATCAAAGATGGGATAAACGTTGGGAGAGAGGAAATGCCCCATCTCCCTCTCATGTGTCCTGTCCTAGGTCCATAGCCTCCTTGTGCTCCTTGTGCCTCAGCACCTCTGTCACTTCCTTCTGGACCCAGTCCTGATCCCCCAGCCTTCTACCAACTCCTCCATCCTAGGCCTGTTCTCCTCTCCATCCTGACCCTTGACTCTGACCCTGGTCTCTTTAGTTTTGGGAAGGTACGTGCATTGGTTCCCCCTCCGACCCACAGCTCACTCCTAGGCCTTCACCACTGTGATGGTTAATTTTAATTTTCAACTGGATTGGACTGAGAAGTGTAGGAGATTAGTAAAGCACCCCTCTGAATGTGTCTGTGATGGCATTTCCAGAGACCTTTAGAACAAGAGGGCTCTATCTGATGAATGGATTAATCCACTGATGGATTCATAACTTGATGCCATTAGTGGGCAATGATGAGGAGTTGAAGGTGGGGCTTGCTTGGAGGAAGCAGGTCACTGGGAGCGTGTCCTTGGGGAGTATGTTCTGCCCAGGCTCCTTCCTCTATGCCCAATCTCTGCTTCCACCCTCTCGCCTCCACAATTAACTGAATCCAATGAAACCGACCAAAGTAAATCCTTCTTCTGCTTAGGTTGTTTCTATTGGGCATTTGGTCACAGCAATCAGAAAAGAAACTAATACAGCAAATTGATATCAGGAAGGTGGCTGTTCCTGTGAATAAACTTGATCATTTTTAAGCATTTAGAACTAGTTTGTAGGAGAAATTTGGAAAGTTAAAAGAAGCAGGCTAGAAAAAGTTTAAAATACTGCAAGCAGAGTTCAGTGGGCAATTCTGCTGGGATCTCAGAAGACTAGAATGCCAGCAGGAGTGCAGGAAGGAAGGGCAGGCTCATGAGGTTTTAGAGGAGAGGAAGGACTGCAGTGGGAATTGGAGCAGAGGACATTGGTGCTCCACTCACACAGAGTTGAGTTGTCTCAGAGTTGAGCGAGGCTGAATATAAACTTGATGGATTAATTAATTAGCAGAGGAAATTTCAAACAGCCTGGCATTCCATGGATGACAGAATATGGATGATTGCTTATAGGGAGGATTACAGTGAAAAGCAAAAGCAAAAAGCAAAACACATGGAGTCTGCCCAGAAAAGGAGACCATTGAAAGTTGTGGACCAGGAGGGCATGGCTGTTAAAGAAATTTGTGCCATTGAAAGTAGTCAAACACTTCAATTGGAAAAATAGGATGCTTTGAGGGCACCAGAATTGACAAAACTCCATCCATCCCAGGCCACAGTGGTAAAACTGACAACCCATTTGGAAGACTTTCCCTTGAGAAGAGAGAGCTATTGGTCACTCGGCTCACCAGGCCTACCTTAGGAACACGTTTTCTGCCTACAGATGGTTTATATATTTCCTCAGATGGAGAGAAATATGGCCTGAGCCAGATTGCCCAGGAACTCAAGTAAATCATGTCTGGAATTTTCTGACTTGTCCCAAAGGTAGACTGTCTTGTCTCCCATCTTCAGGAAGGAGACATCTGACCCTGGTCTCTTCACACCAGGCTTTTTGAAAGTCATTGCACACCAGCCATATGCTAAGCTCTTTATATGTGTTATCTTATTTTTCTCCCACTAAAGATCAATGAATAAGGAAACTAAGGCAGAAAATGGTAAATTAATTTTCAAAGATCACTAATGCTCAAGGAATAAAGAAACTAAGGTAAGAATTAACATGCAAAAGTCATAGAACTAGCAGATGGCAGAAACAATCCTACCCCCTGAGTCACTATCTCCCCTCAATCTGAGGCCATTCAGTGCCAGGGGGTAACACAGAGGAAGCTCTCCTCATGGATTGTGGAGAAGGGGTGTCCTCAACCCCAATGCAGGACTGCCTGGGAAGTGTGCCTGCCAAGATAAGCAGAGCCAAGCAGAAGTGTGAGTAGCAGTGCCGCATGCCCTCTGGAGGTCACCTGGACAACTGAACCTTTCCCACTCTTGGGTCACCAGCTGCTACAGATCCTCTATGCTCACTGTGTCGTGCAGATTCTCAATGATTTTCTCAAAGATGTGCTCAATGAAGCTTTGGTTCCCTAGTTGGGAAGGAAAAGCAAGGTTAGAGAACATTGTGGTAGAGCTTGAATGGCATCGAGTAAGAGAGTTAAAAGTCATGTTGCTGAGCATCTGTCACATGGAGAATTTCAGAGGAGTCACCAGTTTTATGAACTCAGTTGTGTCCTCCAAACTCATGCAAAAGTCCTAGCCCCAGCAGCTGTTTTTGAAGACAAGGCCTTTAAGTATGTGAAGTAATTGAGATTAAATGAAATCATTTAATCATTTAAGTATAGGCCCTGAATCTTAGGACTGTTGACCTCTCTCTCTCTCTCTCTGTCTCCACAAAGTAGGGGCTATGTGCAGGCACAGTGAGCAGCAACCTCTACACACCAGGAACACAGCCCTCACCAGAACCAAACCTACCACACCTGGATCATGATCTTGGCTTCCAGAGTTATGGGGAAATAGAGGTCTTTTATTTAAATGTCCCTGCTTGGTGTTTTGTGATGGCAGCCAGAGACCAATACAGCAGGGATGGCCACCATGCTTTGCAGAGAAATTAATTTCTTTTCAGCTCAGAGCAATCAGAAAGTGAGATTTTTAGCCCTAGGAAGAGGAAAAATTTCAAGGATGGCTTCCATCTACCATGTGCCTGCTGCATGTCAATCACGTGTACCTGTACCTCAGATATGACTTTCAACCCATCAGTGATTTGGGGTATGAACTCAGGGTGTCATGCTTGCTTGGCAGGTACTTTACCACTTGAGCCACTCCACCAACCTGTTTTTTGTGTTTGGTATTTTCAAAATAGGGTCTTGTAAACATTTGTCCTGCCTGGCTTCCAACCATGATCCTCCTGATCTCTGCCTCCCAAGTAGCTAGGTTTACAAGACATGAGCCACCCATACCCAGCTTTGATGGTTAATTATGATTTTCAATTTGATTGAGTTGAGACATAGGTGGGAAGTTTATAAAGCATACTCCTGGGTGTGTCTGTGAGGGTTTTTCCAGAAAGGATTAGACCAGAAGGGCTCAGACTAATGAATGGATTCATTCATTGATGGATCCAAAATGGAATAGATCTTATTGGGAGGTGATAGAATGTGGAAGGTGAGTCCGGTTGGATGAAGTAGGTCACTGGGAGTGTCCTTGGAGGCTATATGGTTCCCTAGCCCTTTCCTGTTACTGCTCAGCTCTGCTTCTGGTCCACCTCCACCACAGTGTGAACTGCTTCTCTGCACCCGCCCTGCATGATGAATGCAGCCTCCAAAACTGTAAGCAAAACAACTCTTTCCTCCCTTAAGTTGTTTGTGTGGAGTATTTGCTCAGAGCAACGATAGTACTGACTAACACAAGTGAGTTCTAACATTAGTTTATTGGATCAAAATCAGTATTTTGTTAAAGGAAATGGATTTGACAATATCAGAGCAAATTAGACATGGTGATGGTCAGTTTAGCTTTGTGAATAACTTCATATATATATGTATACTTATACATATACAGGTATGTGTGTTTGTGGGATACTGTGTGATATTTCAGGGTCCTTAGTGTGACATCACCTCACTTTTCATTTCTTTGTTCAAGAACACTCAAAACCCTCACTAGTAGCTATTTTGAAATATACAATTAAATTAAGAATTTTAATGTTTTAGAAATGGAGACATGAAATAATGTCTTACAACTGTAATTTCAGCTCTTGGGAGGCTGAGGCAGAAGGGTCATGATTTCAAAGCCAGCCCGAGATGCATAGTGAGCTCCAGGCCAGACCAAGTCAAATAGCAAGACTTTGTCTCAAAAGAGAAGAGAAAGGAAAGGAAAGGAAGGGAGGGGAAGGAAAGGAAAGGGAATGGAAAGCAAGGCAAGGCAAGGCACAGCACATGAGGTATATTTCTTGCCAATACAAGTAACCAAATGCATTCATATTTTGGGAGTAAAACTGGTGAATATTCATAGAAGATAAAGTAAATAGTGTACTAGTTGTAAATAGCCTCAGATCAGTAGAGAGCAGGATTACTGCCAAAAGAGTTATCAGATTATCAGGTCAGGTATTAGGGACCAGTATACACTAATGTGCATACTGGGCATGATTTGAAATGCTCTTCCTAGTGTATACTAACAAAGGAGGTAGGGTTCTTATTTTACAGAAGAAAGTGACATGTGGACAGGAAAATGGATGGCCCAAAGCCAGCAAGCAGAGAGCTAGAATTTGAACCCAAGGTCAACTGGGTAATTGAAATTACCCAGTTTTTGAAATTACCCTCAATACTCATGTTTTTTAAAATTCCTGTGACTTCTGCATTCTACTCTGAAATACCCCTGAGCAGCTTTCTGAATTTTTAAAATAATGTTCTCACTGCACAAAATGGAGTACACCCATCATGCAGAGAGGAGTCTTCCCACTAACAATGGATGCTCCGAGACTGGCAGAGGAGGGGAATCTTCAGGTGTTGGGTGATGGTGAGGCCCAGACCCTCAGCTCCATCCTTATGACTGCTCCATATCTCAGGGGACCTGGTTCTCCAGTGGCCAAGTTGGCCCATTTAATGAATGAGAGGGTGTCTATCCTCCCATCCACCACCCAACCATCTCTTAAGCTCCTGGGCCCTACTAGGAGCTCCTAGTGACCAGTATTCCCCCATCCCTTATTCATCAATGTGACTCCTCCTGGCACAATTTGCTCCCCAGTGCTGGCTCCTGGGAAGAATTAACCTGGATGCCAAGGCAATTAAGGGAGGGGAAGAAAAGGGACTGAAAGAACAGGACTGCAGGGAGGCTGGGGTAAGTGAGGTTGAGGGAGGATGGTCTCTGGTGTTTCCTTTTAGTGTCACCTGCAGAATTTCTTTTCCATGAGTAAGTAGAATCAGTCTCTGCCTGGGGCAGTTCACACCTATGAGCAGGTGCTTGTCATGGGCAAGGCAGGACAGGTGCTCTGCACAGCTTTAGGGTGTGGGTAAAGGGAGTTTCCACTGCAATGAACAGTGGGGTGCAGGTAGAGGGTGAGAACCAACACTGGTGGGGAGAACCTACGATGTGACAGGTACCTGTGTGGACCACCTACACATCTGATTGTCAGAACAACATGGAAACACTGTTCACCTGTCACAGGTGAGGTATAGAGTTCCAGGTTACACAAACGAGAGGTGGCAAAGGTCACACTGGGGTCAAGTTCAGTGGAACTACTCAGAACTTGGCCAACCATGCTGGAAGGAGTTGACCCCACATTGCCATAGGGTCAGTCCAGAAAAGGGGGGAAGAGAAAGGGAAGGGGAAGACTCCAGGTATGGGGACCTCCTGTCTACACCCCTCCCACATTGTATTCCCTTCTTTCCTCCCAGTCTCCTTCCCTGCCATCTTCCCCTTCCCCAAGGCTGTCCTGGCCCTATAGGAGGAGGCAGGTGAGCACCTGGGCCATTCCCACCAACTCCCACACCCCCCAAAGAGAGTCAGGAGGGGAAGCCCACAGCCCTGGGATCAGGAGACTCCACTTGGTCCATCTTGGGGCTTTTCTTCTCCATCTCTGACTCCTCTACTGGCTAACTCAGATTGGAGTGCCACCTCAGCAGAAACCAGCCAGAGAAGAGGACCTTGACTCTCTGGGGAGGCCATGCTACCTTCTGATTCCATAATGCTGGTAGACTCTGAGAGGTTTTTGTTCAAGTCACTGGTGGCGTCCAGGCTGCAGGGAGGAGAGAGCACATGGAGAGAAGGAATGAGAGGCAGCTGCAGCCAAGGTCACATCCAGGGGCCAGGTCTCCCTCCAGTCCCTTCAAGGTGTCAGCAGAGACCTAGCCAGACTCAACCCACAGTATTCCTCTTCTCCTGGGCTCTGTGACTGCTATAGAGAGAAATTTGGCCATTTGCTACAGCTTCCTTTGCCCTCACCCCAACCAAAGCAGAGGACTCGTATCCTGTTAGGGTCTGGGGGAAGGTAAAAGGGGTGAGTACACAGACATATGCAAAGGATAGAATCTGCACAAAGAAGTCAAGGAGGGGAGGAATGTTCTGGCAGTTACCTGCGGACGGAAACACTGTGTGAACTCCTAAATGACTAATATTTACTGAGTGTCTATGATGCTCGGGGATCTTACTCCACCTCATGAAGTGATCACACAGATCCATGAGGTGAGGACCAATGTGGCTCTCATTTAAGCACAGGGAATGAGCACAAAGATCCTGTGACATGCCCAAATATTAACAATAGTGCAAGACCCAGAACTTGAATCCAAGTCATTCTGATTCAAATCCTATGTGATGACTTTGTCTGGATGACTTTGCTCTGCTCCCTTAAATATATAAAAGTATTTGCAAAGTTTTCAAATTTAATGGATTATTTTTTGTCTTTCTGAGTCTGGTTTATTTAGATCAACATGATGATCTTCAGTTCCACAGAAGCAATGTCTTATACCCTGGGATTGGGTCCATATTGGAAAATTTACTGATGCCCCTCCACCCTGGGGTTTCCTCCTTGTTTCTTAGGGATCCTTCCTCCCACCAGGCCTGAATCCTGCTAGGCCCTCTCCCTGCCCCTGTGGAGGGCTGCCCAGCCTCTCTGCTTCCTCTTTTAATTGTTGGACTCAGGTTATTTCTAATCCTTTTTGAAAATAGGCGTGCAAAGCACCTTCTTCTTACATAAACTTGTGCCTGCCCTTGATATTAGTTTAAAGACATTTCTAGATTAAAATGACTGGTTGAAGAGGATCCCAATTTAAATTATTCTTTTTTGTGGAATGGTGGTTTAGGCCTGGTAACCCAGTTACTCGTAAGGCATAAACAGATGCATTGTGGCCCAAGGCAGCCCAGGCCAAAACTATGGGACCCTATCTGAAAAATAACTATAGTAAAAAGGAGTGGCTGAAGTGGTAAAGCACCTGCCTAGCAAGCATGAGACCATGAGTTCAAACATCATTACCACAAAAAAAATATTTTTGGTAAAATATGGTCACAGATTTATGCAAATGAATTGTACCAATTTATATTCCCCACATGCAGTATGTGAAGAAAATGTTCTTTCAGTCTTAACAGTTTCCTATTGTGATTAAAGGAAAAAAACACAAGTCTGAAAATAGAATTTCAAGTTCTGCTGTGATTACCTTGCTTGTTGTGATTTCTTGACTAAAGAAAGCAAATGTGTTTAGGCCCTATTTTGAGAAGGCAAAAGGGCATTTTTCAACTACCCCTCCTGACACCTGACTACAATGATAGCTAACAAGAATAGTGGCTATCACTTGCAGGCCTCACTCTGTGCAGAAATTGCTCTAGTGCACTATGAATTATAGCTCACAGCATTCCTCCAATGACCTTTGAAGTGTGTACCATTCATGCCCCTGTTTACAGATGAGAAAACTGAAACATGAGCTTTATGTGACTTAATCAAGTCAGAAATCTAGTAAGTGAGCAGATTAGACACCTCCTCCCCATGACTCTGTGAATGAGGAGAGTCAGGTAACAAAGGAGAGACTACATTCTAAAGAGAAATAGAGCATCAGGACCCAGGAAATAGTTGAAAAAGAAAGTCTACACAAAGAGGAAGAGGTAGTCACAGCTCCAACCCTGTCTTCCTGTGGGTGGGAAATGCCACCCTACAACCACAAGGTAAGCCAGGTGGCCCTGGTGAACAGTCTGCTGGTCCTAGCTGCAGGATAAGCTCACAGTTCTCACAAGCATGAATCCAGTGTGGAGATTTGGTGTGACAGTAACTTCTCCTGTGTGGCAGGACAGCATTGGAAAACAAACACATTTTGCTGCTCCCCATAGCTCAGAGAGCTATAGCCAGTTGAGAGCTTGAGAGGGTTCCTACTGTTTGAGAATTAGCTACTCTTGTGATCTGAAGACAAGGAACAGTTGCAGCTCTGGGTCCCTGGGTTAACCCTCCACAAAGTCTAGGAGGAGAATGCCAGAAGAAGTGGTGTAGAGAGGGAGAGGGTCTAACATGGACCTACTGAGAGGTTTAGGCAGTGGGGAGCTTAGGCAGTGAAGGGCACAGTGATGGGTGCCCCAACCCTCTGTGGCTAGAATCAAGCACCTGAAGATTATGTGGAAACAGTTCCAATTCTGTGGTCTCTGGAGCTAACTCCCAGCTATGTATAGTTTTCTCCCAGACATGACTGAGAGATCTGAGCCAAGAGCCAGCAATTTCTTAGTTTTCACAACCTCATCCCTCCCACAGGGTTGTTTAATTGTGGGCAGTATCTGAAAGCAGTTAGTCAGGAAGGAAGAGTGCCAATTTCCCTTGGTCCTTCTCCTTCAATGAAGAACTCAGTACTGTGTTTTCTTTCCCCACTCAACCATGATTGGCTTGAACACTTGCTGCCCTGGGGACACAAACAAGAGGGGACTGTGAAGTGAGTGGGAACCTACTTGGTTCATAGGCTGCATTAGCTTTGTGGCCAGCATCGGCTCTCAGTACACAAAAAGGGAAGTGTTTAAATTGAATGACACCCTGAAGGCAAATAATTGACCCTTGGCCAGCCAACCCTCAACCAGCATACACCAGCCTGAACAGTAGGAACTACAAGAGACTCCAGCTAGTTTTCTTCACTCTGACAAGGGCTAGGAATCAAACTCAGTGCTCTGAACATGTGAGTGAAAGTTTGGTTATTGAGCTACACTCATAGTCCAGTGGTGAGAAACTGCACTTCAACCCTGCCACTATCCAGCCCAGCCTGAACTTTGAGACTACTTTGCTGAAACAACATGGGTGATTAAAACCTCCAACCAGTGATGTTTTCAGATGTGCAAATCTAAACACAGACACAAATAAGAAAAAAAACAAGGCAACATGGTTCCTACAAAGTTCAACAGTTCTAAATTATGGACTCTAATGATAGTGAGGTGGATGAAGTATCAGACAACGAATTCAAAACAATAATTTTAAGAATGACCAATGAGCCAGGCACCAGAAGCTCATGACTGTAATCCTGGCTATGCAGGAGGCAGAGAGTAATAGGATTAAGGTCCAAGGCCAGCACAGGCAAATAGTTCATAAGATCCTATCTTAAAATTATCCAACACAAAAAAAGAGCTGGTGGAGTGGCTCAAGTGTTACCTGCCTGGCAAGCATGAGGACCTGAGTTCAAACTCCAGTACCGCTAAAAAAAAAAAAAAGCCCAATGAAGTTAAAGAAGACATGAATAAACACCTTAATAAAATCAAAGTAAATTCAAATACACAGTGGAATGAAATAAAGAACACAATCCAAGAATTAAAAGAGAAATTAATAAAGGTTAAAAATTCTGAAAATAATCAAATTGAAGTTCTGGAAATTAAAATCTCTATAAATCAAATAAAAAGCTCAGTTGAAAGTCTCATCAGTAGACTGGATTAAGTAGAAGACTGAATGTCAGGGGTTGGAGACAGGTAATGCATTAGAAGATTCTGAAAATGGTAAAGTGAAAAATGACACACTACAAAGAGGACACACAAGAACTCAGGGACCCCATTAAAAGACCAAACCTATGAATCATGGGCATAGAAGAAGGAGAAGAGGTACAAGCTAAAGACATAGAAAACACATTTGATCAAAACAATTGCAGAAAATTTTCTACAGGTTTGGAAAGAGATAGTCATATACTACATAAGGTTTTCTGGCAAGACAAGAAAATAACCTATCTAAGAATATCACAGTTAAAACATTACGTATATCAAACAAGGAAATAGAATTGAAAGCTTCAAGAGAGAAGTGCCAAGTCACATACACAGGCAAAGTCATCAGAGAAACAGAAGATTTCTCAGTACAAACTCTAAAAGCCAGGAAAGCATGGAATGATGTACTTCAAGCCATAAAAGAAAATAACTTCCAACATAGACTACTGTACCCATCAATGCTAGCCTTCATAACTGAAGAAGAAATAAACACCTTCCATGACAAACAAAAAATAAAGGAATTCATGACCACTAAGCCAGCATTGTAGAAAATACTTAAAGGAACCCTACACACAGAAGAGGAAGATAAACACAACCACGAGAAAACAGGAGAGAATAGATCTCACTAGAAGAGTAAAGAAGCAAATAAAGAAAGAATCAAACATTAGAAAAGCAAAAAATGACAGGAAATAGTACATACCTCTAAATAGTAACTCTGAACATTAATGGTCTCAACTCCCCCAATTGAAATCCATAGATCAGTGGATTGCATTTTTTTTAAAAAGTGTTTGTTTTCTACAAGAATTGCACCTCAGAGACAAAGACAAACAGAGGCTTAAAGTGAAAGGACGGAAAAAGATATTCTAAGCAAATGGAATCTGAAAGCAAGCAGGAGGACCTATACTCATATTTTACAAAGCAGACTTCAAAACAAAACAGTTCAGAAAAGACAAAGCAGGTCACTTCATATTGCTAAAGTGAATAGTCCATCAAGAAGATAAAAGAAGCCTAGTGTTGGTGGTCTACGCCTATAATCCTAAATACCTGGGAAAATGAGATTGGGAGGATCACTGTTCAAGGCCAGCCCAGGCAAATAGTTTGCAACACCCCATCTCCAAAATAACCAAAGCAAAATGAACCGGAGGTATGGCTTAAGCAGTAGAGCACCTGCTGTGAAGTGCAAGGCACTGAATTCAAACACCAATTTCTCAAGCATACAAAAAAAAGGAAGATAAAAAATTTTAAACATTTTCAAATTTACATATGTGCTAAATTTCATGAAACAAACACTACTGTACATCAAAGTCCAGACAG